CACACCCGTCAGAATGGCTCAAATTAACAAGTCAGGAAACGACAGATGTTGGTGGGGATGTGGAGAAAGGGGAACCCTCCTACACTGTTTGTGGGAATGCAAGCTGGTGCAACCCCTCTGGAAAACAGTATGGAGGTTTCTCAAACAGTTGAAAAGAGAGCTGCCATACGATCCAGCAATTGCACTACCCGGTATTTACCACAAAGATACAAATGTAGGGATCCGAAGGGGTACGTGTACCCCAATGTTTTAGCAGCAATGTCCACAATAGCCAAACTGTGGAAAGAGCCAAGATGTCCATCGACAGATGAATGGATAAAGAAGATGTGGTATATATACACAATGGAATATTATGCAGCCATCAAAAGGAATGAGATCTTGCCATTTGCAGCAATGTGGATGGAACTGGAGGGTGTTAGGCTGAGTGAAATAAGTCAATCAGAGAAAGACATGTATCATATGATCTCACTGATATGAGGAATTCTTAATCTCAGGAAACAAACTGAGAGTTGCTGGCGTGGTGGGGGGTGGGAGGGATGGGGTGGCTGGGTGATAGACATTGAGGAGGGTATGTGCTATGGTGAGCGCTGTGAATTGTGTAAGACTGTTGAATCACAGACCTGAACCTCTGAAACAAATAATACATTATATGTTAAAAAAAAAAAAAAAAGAAGAAGATAGCAGGAAGGGAAAAATGAAGGGGGGGAATTCAGAGGGTGAGACGAACCATGAGAGACGATGGACTCTGAGAAACAAACTGAGGGTTGTAGAGGGGAGGGGTGTGGGGGGATGGGTTAGCCTGGTGATGGGTATTAAGGAGGGCACATTCTGTGTGGAGCACTGGGTGTTATATGCAAACAATGAATCATGGAACACTACATCAAAAACTATTGATGTAATGTATGGTGATTAACATAATATAATAAAATGTAAAAAAACTCTTTGGATAATTTCTAGTCATTTTTTTCTATATGCAGTCCAATTCTGCACATACAGATTTTCCCTATCCTTATTTTTTTATTAATTTTCTTCCCCTTTCTAATCATCCTGTTGATCTCCTTTCTTAGATTCCTTAAATATGCTTACCCATATATACACCAATGTTAGAACTAATGCTATTAAATAATAAATAACTTTCTCTTTGACTTTAAAAACAAAACAAAACAAAACAAAAAAAGAACCTTCCCCCTTGGGACGCCTGGTTGGCTCAGTCAGTTAAGCATCTGCCTTCGGCTCAGGTCATGATCCCAGGGTCCTGGGATTGAGGCCTGCATTGGGCTCCCTGCTCAGAGGGAAGTTTCTTTCTCCCTCTGCCTGCCGCTTCCCCTGCTTGTGCTTTTTCTCTCTTTCTCTGACAAATAAATAAATAAAATCTTTAAAAAAAATAAATAAATAAAACCCTCCTGTCCAGATCACATAGGACAGAATAATCTTGGCTAACCTCTGAGTTCTCAGAGTGTGGTCCCTGATCAGCTGCATCGGCAACATCTGGAAACTTGTTAAATAGGCAAATTCTTAAGCCCCAGACCCACTAATTCAGAGAGTTTGGGGGTGGGACCCAGCAAGCTGTGTTTTAATCCTCCAAGCGATGCTGGTGCTCATTCAAGTTTGAGAGCCCCTGCCATCGGGCAACTTTAAAGATTTTATTTTATTATTTATTTGAGAGAGAGAGAATGAGAGATAGAGAGCACGAGAGGGAAGAGGGTCAGAGGGAGAAGCAGACTCCCCACAGAGCAGGGAGCCCGACGTGGGACTCGATCCCGGGACTCCAGGATCACGACCTGAGCTGAAGGCAGTTGCCCAACCAACTGAGCCACCCAGGCGCCCTTAAAGATTTTATTTATTTATTTGAGAGAGAGAGAATGAGAGATAGAGAGCACGAGAGGGAAGGGGGTCAGAGGGAGAAGCAGACTCCCTGCTGAGCAGGGAGCCCAACGTGGGACTCGATCCCGGGACTCCAGGATCATGGCCTGAGCCGAAGGCAGCCGTTTAACCAACTGAGCCACCCAGGCGCCCCGGGCAACTTTATGTTTATAATTACATCCCAGCATCATCTACCCCATAAAGTTATCCAATCCAATTTCCCACACATACAGAATCCCTGCCAGCACTCAGCCTTGGAGGAATGCTCTAAGCCTGTGAGATATCAGCTATGTCCCCTCACCCCATACCCAGGAGAGCTGTCAGAGTAAGCTTCTAGCCACTGAGAATTCCCTGTCCCAAACCAGCTACTCCCTAGGGGGACTTTTCCAATGACCTGAACATCTGGGCCTTCAGGGCCTGGGGCTGACCTTTGGAGTGACTTCTAGAGGAGGCCCTTCAGGAAAGTGAAGAGTGATCCTGGTTCCCTGGTGGCTTTCCTATGAACAGCTCCCATTTAGCAGCGTTTCTCTTAAAATGGAGGGTCCAGAGCTGGGAATGATGCAGGGCAGGGCCAGGGCCAGTGGTACCGTTGCTTCCTTTCATCTGTCCATCCACCTGTTGTCACTGTGGACCACATCACATAGCTTATGGGAAGTTGTTTGCTGCATTGGACCAGGAGGAAGGGTAGCTAGGAGAAGGCTAGGCCTGAGGATAAATTAGGTCCTTTAAAACCCCTGCGGACCTCTTAACTCTAGAGAACAAACTGATGGTGACCAGAGGGGAGGTAGTTGGGGAGTGGGAGAAGTAAGTTATGGGGATAAAGGAGGGCATTTGTCCTGATGAGCACCAGGCGATGGATGGAAGTTGAATCATTTTATTGTATACCTGAAACTAATATTACACTGTATGGTCACTAACTGGAATTAAAAAAATTAAAACAACAAATCAATTGATTAATTAATTAATTAAGGACTAAAAATAAAAAATAAAAAACCTGGGCACCAAAAATACTCTGATCTCCTCCCCACCAGAATGTAATTGAGAATACACATAACAGCAAACCATTACATAAGTGTAAGGAAGTAGAACCAAGTTCTGCATTCACTCATTACAATGATTTTTGCATTATTTTTGAAATATCAAATATTAATTTCTAAAATTTTATTACAAAATTGTTCAGATGACCAAAAATACATATTTAAGAATTATTTAAAGAAAACAAAATCATATACTTAACCAGTCAGCTTAAAAAAATATTACCAATATTGTTAAAGTATACATATAATTTTTCAAAAAGTTCTGTTTTATTGCTGTTTGGAGCCAATGGTACTCAAGTTTTGCTTCACATTAGATTCACCTAAAACTTTAAAAATCCCAAGGCTCAGTCTTCACCTTAAACAATGAATCAGAACTTCAAGGAGTGGACATCAGTGTTTTAAGGATTCCTTGGGTAATTCTAATCATTCCAGAAGGAGAAGCTGCTTCAAGGGAAGGTGGAGAAGGGCTCTATCTTGTGTGTTCTACTTCAGGGGTCCACACTTCCCCTGGTGGATTCTCAGTGGCTTTAGATCAGAAACCAGCAGGCTCTCCCTCATTTCTGGGAAGAGCCTGCCATCTGCTGGCCAACTCCAGGAAAATATGGCCACTACAGCTGGCCTGGTTCGAAGGATGCCTGGGTCAAGTATCACGGCCAAGGGGCAATCAGTTTGTGAAGCTCCTTCTCGCAGGTGATGAATGCAGTTGTTCCACAGCAGCTCTGGGAGGGGGCAGGTCAGGGCAAATAGAGTCACTTTCAACTTGCAGATAGGCATCTCTATTACCCCAGAGTTGGAACAGGATGGGAGCAGAAGGGGCTCCCAGGCACTCTTCAGGGCCTAAGAAGAAAAAGGCAAGGGCCCAGGGGAAAGGGATAAACTGAACAAAGGGATTTTTAAGAGAGAAAAGACACCTAGGGAAAGTCCTTGGGAAGAGAAGCAGGGGTTACCTAAGAACCTCAGGAAGGGAACAGAAGGTGATGTACATGTCTCACTAATTCTGGAACTTGGGCTTTTTCCTCTGTTTGGTCCAAAGATTACATCAGCCTGTCATGGTTCTTTCCCAAGGGGATTTGTTGGCTGTTCTGTCTGCCTGGAACATTCTTTCTTGCACAAGCAAATATTTGTTCAGGTTTCAGGTCGGTAAACCACAACCTTGCTTCTACCTGGAAGCCTGCTCGAACTCTCCTCATCTCCGGCACCCTGTCCTTGCTCCTGCCACTCAGTTCTGGAACCATCTGTTTACTTGTTTACTGTTCACTCATTCTCATAAGATCCCAAATTCCATGAGGAAAGGGACATCATTACACTCCCAGCACCTACCCCAATGCAAGAAACAGAGCAAGAATATTTGTTTACTGAATTGATTTTTCTTATGGCAAGACCAAACACTGTAATCTGAAAACAAAAAGAAAATACTTTGAAACGTATTTTGCCCCCAACAATGAGTTCTTTCTGGTGGTAAATTGAAAATAATTACCTTTTTCTATGTATATATCTATAACTACTTGGGGGAGTAGGCAGACCAGTAATCTTATTTCCAGTTGGCACATGTTATAAACTAACTCTTTATTCCATCCATTTATGCTTTAATCAGTAAATAAACATGGTGGATAGCTACTATTTTGGGCCTGCCCAGTGTCCATATCCATTTCTCCTTCATGTAGTAAGACCATCCCAATTTTATTTTAGAGAAATAACCCCCTCCATTCTCAGTCCATGTGATTCAGGACAGCTGAACCCATCCCCAGGTCCAGGTGTAGGCATGGGACTTGGGCCCAGCTGGTCACTGTATTCCAACAGCCTAGCATGTGATTGGTTCAGGGATGAGCACATGACCCAAGCTGACCCAATGAAATTTAGCCATGGAACTTTTGCCGGCACTTGAGGAAAGAGGAGACCAAAGAGTAAAGCCAAAAAAGGAAAGTAGAGCTGAGAGAAGAAGCAGAGACATCTTTCAGATATTGGCACTCAACCTAGAACTTTTTCTGGACCTTTCCATTCCATTAGCCAATGAAGTCCCTTTTCCAGAAGTCAGTATGAGGGATTCTCTCCTCCCTGTAGCTGAACGAGTACTAGCTAACAAGAAAGAGGAACAGAGAATGTGACTTTTTCTTACTTTTATTTTTTACAAACTCAATACAGCATTTGCAATGCTTTTAAAACTATAATAAGCTTTCAAATTATTACGAAATTACTCAACATATCAGTTAAAAAGAGGCATATGATGATTTGACCACATGGTCTCAAAGGGTGCGGGGGTTCCCAGATCTGGGGAGCCACAGAGTGGCCTATTACAGGTTTTGCTCCCCCAGTCTTCTTTTCTATCTCACTGCCAGCACCCCTGAGCACATTTCAGCCCTGCTTTCAGGAGAAGTAGCCATCTCTACACAAGAAGGTCATAGATGCAGGTCTCACAGCTACACTTGGCTCTGCCATCAGGCCACACGCAGTCCCCAGTTCTCCTTAACTCAGCGAAGAATTGGCTGTTGCCAGTAGGGCAGCAAACACAGAATCAGGCTTCTGCTGCAGGACCTCGGGTCTATCAAACTCTACAACCTGGGAGATGGAGAAAGGAGGGGAAGGGAGGGAAGGGACACCACTGAGCTTAGCCTTGAAGGATCCAAAGGCCTCCTGGGATGCTGGCCTGAGCGAACATTCTCCCACTGGCCCCAGGGACACGGCTCTCACCTTCCCGTTGCTCATGACCAGGATGCGGTCACAGTTGAGTACAGTGGTGATGCGGTGTGCAATGACCAGCACTGTGCAGTTCTGGAAGGCTTCACGGATTGTGTGCTGGATCAAAGTATCGGTTTCCATGTCAATGGAAGCTGTGGCTTCATCAATAAGGATGATCTGGTGAATACAAAATAGGGGTGAGGGCAGTTTGCTTGAGCCCTGAGACCTGGATCTAGTCCTGGGTCTACCATTAATCCACTGAGTCCCTTAGCTGGAAGGTGAGCGATATGGATTGGGTTCAAAACCCACTTAGAACACTAGTTGTCCATTATGTTAGAGAATATTAGGTTTCAACCAAGAGCTTGTGTGTGTGTGTGTGTGTGTGTGTGTGTGTGTGTGTGTGTGACCAGAGAATTAAACTCTTGAAAATGAAAATGTCCCAGTGGTAGGGGCGCCTGGGTGGCTCAGTTGGTTAAGCAACTGCCTTCGGCTCAGGTCATGATCCTGGAGTCCCGGGATCGAGTGCCACATTGGGCTCCCTGCTCAGCAGTGAGTCTGCTTCTCCCTCGGACCCTCCCCCCATCGTGCTCTCTCTCTATCTCATTCTCTCTCTCAAATAAATAAATAAAATCTTAAAAAAAAAAAAAGAAAATGTCCCAGTGGCAACTTCTTGTTTTATGAACTGCCTTCCGATTCGTCTAAATTAACATAGACCAGCGTTCCCCAAAACAGGGCATGCACACATGTTTGGATGGCACATGAGATGGTGTGGCTGGACTATGGATAAACGTTCTCTTTAACATTTTTATTTTATTTTATTTACACTATATGTTAGAAAAATATAACTAGCACAGAAATGTGATTTCACAAATGTTACTGTTTAGAATGAGGCTGTTTTTAAAAAGAGGGCATCACGAGTAAGTCAAAGGAGAGATGGTGCGCAGATATGACAAAAATCATAAAGTGATGACTCAAATTTGGGAAACAATGGAGAAAGCAACTTTGGCACCAGTGGTCTAGTAACTGTAAAATAAGGAACTGAGTGGTTGAGAAAGTGCTACATGCATATTGCAGATCCTGTCTTTCATCTCTGCTAGAAAGAGGGAGATCGTCCTCCCTCCTGAAATCTTCTCCCCAGCTTCCGACCCCACAGGGGTCTGCTTTTTCCCCAGAGCTCTGACAGTCTGTACCAACAGTTTTTGCATTTATCATTAATTAACCATGGTGTGTGCTGTGAGTGCATGCGAGCACCTGTGGGCACATATGTATATATGTGTGAGTGTGGAGGAGGTATATGTACATATGAGTATGTGTGTGTGGCCTCACTTGAGAAAGTTTGCTCGCTACTAGTCCAGGTAGTCAAATATCTAAAATTACTGGCACAATATTTGGAAAACTTCAAGAAGCACTGTCTGATGAAACTTTTGAAAAATATGTAATTTTGGAAAAAAGACAGTCTCTTCAACAAATGATGCTGGGAAAACTGGACAGGAACATGCAAAAGAATGAAATTGGACCATTTTCTTACACCATACACAAAAATAAATTCAAAATGGATGAAAGCCTTAAATGTGAGACAGGAAACCATCAAAATTCTAGAGGAGAACACAGGCAGCAACCTCTCTGACATCGGCCATAATACCTTCTTATTAGACATGTCTTGGGAGGCAAGGGAAACAGAAGCAAAAATAAATTATTGGGACTTCATTAAGATAAAAAGCTTCTGCACAGTGAAGGAAACAATGAACAAAAGTAAAAGGCAACCTATGGAATGGGAAAAATATTTGCAAATGACATATCTGATAAAGGGCAGTATCCAAGAACAATAAAGAACTTATCAAACTCAACACCCAAAAAAACAAATAATCCAGTTAAAAAATGGGCAGAAGACATAAACAGACGTTTTTCCAAAGAAGACATCCAGATGGCTAACAGACACATGATAAGATGCTCAACATCACTCATCATCAGGGAAATGCAAATCAAAACTACAATGAGATATCACCTCATACCTGTCAGAATGGCTAAAATCAATAACACAAGAAACAACAGGTGTTGGTGAGGATGCAGAGAAAGGGGAACCCTCTTACACTGTTGGTAGGAGTGCAAACTGGTACAGCCACTCTGGAACATAGAATGGAGGTTCCTCAAAAAGTTAAAAATAGAACTACCATATTCATCCAGCAATTGTACTACTAGGTATTTACCCAAAGTATACAAAAATACTGATTCAAGGAGATACATGCACCCCAATGTTTATAGCAGCATTATCAACAATAGCCAAATTATAAAGAGTCCAAACATCCATCGACAGATGAATGGATAAATAAGATGTGGTATATATATACAATGGAATACTAGCCATAAAAAAGAATGAAGTCTTGCCATTTGCAATGAGATGGATGGAACTAGAGTGTATTATGCTAAGTAAAATAAACCACCAGAGAAAGACAAAAACCACTTATATGTGGAATTTAAGAAACAAAACAGATGGATATGGGGAGAAGGGAAGAGAGGCAAACCAGGAAACAGGCTCTTAACTATAGAGAACAAAGGGAGGGTTGTTGGAGGGGAGATGGGCAAGGGATGGGTTTAATGAATGATGGATATCAAGGAGGGCACTTGTGATGAGCACTGGGTATTATAAGTGATGAATCACTAAATTCTAGACCTGAAACTAAAAAAAAAAAAAAGTAATTTTGCCCTGGAACAGCTATCATCTGATTTCCAGCTCTAATAAAGAGAATGTCCTGCATCCAAGTTTTAGAAAGAATATACAATAGGCAACTTTTAAATTAATAAACTTCTAAACTTTCAACTTTTCATAAGGAAAGTGCATCGTGATTTGGTTCTGGTGGTGGATCATTTCAGCTTAGATGCAGAGTTTCAGTGTTTGAGAGAACCTAGGCTGAGTCCCCACCTACATGCCTCGCCCACACTAGATATGTAGAGAATGGCCACCAGTGACATGAGGAAGCCCTTTGGGTGTTTGTGGAGAGGACGTACAGCACAGCACCCACTACCCTACAGAGACGGAAGGAGAAACAGCCAGTGTGGTTTCCCAAGCCAGGTGTCATCCGCAGCCTCCCATGGCCATTCTGTGGTCTCACCTTTGAGTTGCGAAGGAGTGCTCTCGCAATGCAGAGCAGCTGCCTCTCCCCCACAGAGAAGTTTCTGCCACTTTCCACCACTTCTGCTTGCAGTCCTTGTGGTAACTTTGAGATCTGTAATATCCAGGAAAATGAGATGTAGGCTATGTAGGCAAGACCTAACCTGACCCCTACCAGACCTCCCCTGTAGCACTTTGCAACACTCCTTGCCTCTCTATACTCTAGCCACTGGTCTTTCTCTTCCTTACCTGTGCCCCTCTCACTCCAGTCTCAGGGTCTTTGCATATGCTGTTGCTGTGCCTGGAATGTTCTCTCAAAGATCTGTGCCCTACTGCCCCCTCAATATTGGGTCTCAGCTCCAACTTCCCATCTTTAAAGAGGCCTTGCTTGGCCACTTCATGTAAAGGAGCTACTCCCCATATGGATCATATGGTAATTCTACCTTTAACTTTTTGAGGAACTGGCAAACTGTTTTTCACAGAGGCTGTACCATTTTATATTCCCATCAGGAATGCACGAGGGTTCTGATTTCTCAACATCCTCACCAGGATCTGTTGGTCTCATTACCACATTTACAGCACTTACCACTATCTGAAAGCCTCTTGTGTGTCTATTTGTTGTCTGTATCTCCCAGTGAATGTAAGCACTAGGAGGGCAAACACCTTGCCTACCTTGCTTTTGCTGCATCCCCTGAGCCTAGGATGTGCCTGGCTCACTGTTGGTGTCTGAGTGCCATCAGACTTGACTTAGGAATCCAAAATCATCTCATCTCCGTAAGATTATTTAACCCATGCTCCAAAGTGGCAGCATCTGGAATATCATCTGAGATGAGCCCCAAAGGACCTGCAGGCACCACTGTTGAAGAGGCAGGTTAAGACCAAGAATCAGGTCTTAGAGCTACTTACTGTCATGCTCAGGAATGTCCTCTCCAAGACATCCCAGATCTGCTCATCTGTGTAGCGGTCAAAGGGATCTAGGTTGAATCTGTCATAAAAGAGGAAGAGAAATGTTCTATAACCACATGTAACCATTGAACAATCTGTTCCATGCACAGTAGATGACCAAGAATAGTTAGAACTGTTTTACTGGGTGTAGAGAAACCCATGGAGTTACCATGAACAGTCATGTCTTGTGCCTTCCCAGTACCCATTCATTCTGCAGGCTATGGCCCCCAAGTTTTATTTGGAGACCACCTCCTCCCCAGCCCTCAAGTCCATGTGGTCCAGGTGGTCCTGTACCACCAACTGCAGGGGTGGAGTAAATGACTCAGGCATAAGTAGATGGCTGCAACCATCTTGCTTTGGGAGTAGGCTCATTGAGTAGCCTACTCCCAGGTACAATGAGTAGCCTCATTGAAGGCTAGGAATGAAGCCAAAGCAGAGTTGGGGGACATTAGGCCCCTGAATCAGTCTTGATCTTCCCAGTATCATGAGCCAAAGAGGGCATTTTTAGTTTAAGCCACTAGGGATTGTGTGTGTGTGTCTCTATGTGTAGGTATATGTGTGTTAGAATATACATATTTATTATTTAAATGCTTGTAAGTATACAATTCAGTGGCACTAAATACATTCACAGTGTTGTGTAACCATCCACAAAAACTCATCATCCCTATCAAAATCTCTACCCATTAAACCCTTCCCCCTCCCTCAGCCTCTGGTAACTTCTATTTTACTTTCTGTCTCTATGAATTTGTGTATTCCAGACACCTCATTTAAGTGGAAATATATAACATTTGTCTTTCTGTGTCTGACATATTTCACTGAGCATAATGTTTTCAAGGTCCATCCATATTGTAGCATATATCAAATATTCATTCCTTTTTATGGCTCATTAATATTCCATTGTGTATATGTGTGTGTATTCATTTATCTGTTGATTAACATACACTTGAGTTTTTTCTACCTTTTCGTTATTATGAATAATGCTACAAACACTGATACACAAATATCGGTTCAAGTCCCACTTTCAACTCTTTTGGGTATATACCTAGAAGATTTGCTGGATCATATGGTAATTCTACCTCTAACTTTTTGAGGAAGTGCCAAACTGTTTTTCACAGAGGCTATACCATTTTATATTCCCACCAGTAGTGCACGAGGGTTCCGATTTCTCAACATCCTCACAAATACTTGTTATATTCCTTTTGCTTTTTTCTTTTTTTTCATGATAGCCATCCTAGTAGGTGTGAAGTGGTATCTCACTGTGGTGGGGTTAGTTTTTCTGTCTCTTGCAGTGAAAAAATCCTAATTGATCATCCAAACAACATCAGGTTGGGATCTATCTGGACTTTACACCCATTAAGATTTACACTTGCATTTGTCATAGGCAACATTATTAACACTCCTCTATTATGCAAACACTCAGTCCTGATTAAAACCTATTCTTAATTTCTGCTTTATATTTCCCCAGTTTTGGCAGCCACACACATTTTGTGCAGAGGGCTAGATTGTATTAAAGAAGCAGAAGGCAGAATGTCTTATCTGCATGATATTTGATAGCCTCCAAAGCATTTTCATAGATGGTTCCATTGACACCCTCTCCCCCCAAGCGATGGGTAAATCCCTTTCATTGATGGGAAAGTTATGGCTTATTGGTGTTAAATGCTTGTTCAAGTCACACCACAGGTCAGTCTGAGAGATAGGCTGGAATCAGGGATACTCATAGATAGATGAAACCTCAATGGATAGAGAACCCAGGTCTCCTGTACTCCAGTCCACACTTCTTCCTGCTGCGGGTGGGGCAGGGTGGAGGGGGAAGGTGCAGAGAAACAGCCCTGGTTAAGGGATTAGACTACCTAGGGTAATACCTCATCTTTACCATTTACTTGTGTGTGTCTTGAAACAAGTCATTTTTCCTCTCCAAGTTCAGTGTCTTCCCCTATAAAGGAGGGATAATAATAGTGCCTACTTCATAGGGTTGTAGTGACAGTTAAATGAGACTGAATATTAAAGCATAAGCTGGCACATATAAATGCTCAAAAATGTTAATTCATATTTTTACTACTCCTATATCAAGGCACAATAGATTTGCCCAGGTTCTAGCTTAACATGGAGATCTTTCACTAAATGTTATCTCATTTCCCTAATGCAATCATTTTAAAATTCCTGTTTGTGCACATATTATGCACTCTCCCTGGAAGGACTTTCTCCCCTTTTTCTCCCAGGCAAGCTCCTACTTATCCTTCAAGGTCCTGCTCAAATGTCCCTTCCCCTGTGGAGCCTTTCTGGATTCATCTAAGTAGAGTTACTTGTCCTACTTCTGGGCTCCTTTAGCACTTGGTTCGTATCTCTGATCTAGCAAATACCTCCTTGTATTATAATTTTTTGGTTCTTACATTTCTACACCCACCCCCCATGACTACACTCTGAACTCCTAGGGGGAGCACGGGCAGTGATCATTCATCAAAGTGTCCCCAGTCCCTAGTACAATGTCTGGACCTGGCAAAGGCTCAGAAAAGGCAAGTTAAATGAATGAAAGGCAGGAGGGAGGGCGGGAGGAGGGGGGAGGAAAGAAGTAGGGGGGAGGGAGGGAGGAAGAAATGATGAGTAAATTCATAAATGATTGAACAGAGCTCTAAGGGTCAAGTTTTTCCTCTTGCCCCTAAGAATGTTCCTTAAATATTCCTGAAACATGAGGAATCTAGCTTCATTTCTAATGCATTAGGCTTCCTCAATCTCCATGCCTTGGTGTTCCCACACAGCTAATGTGAACTGTTAAGTAGGAGCATGAATCTGGATAAAGTTTAGTCCCAGTTTGCTCACTGAACTGCTTGGATTATTTCTCACTTCTCCCCTGCCTGGAATGTGCATCCTGTGAAGAAGTGCTCCCTCCCAGCCTAAAACGTCCCCATCAGCTCAGTTATCCAGTGGGTGGAGAGAAGAGAATAAACCACATCTAGAGATAAAAGAATATAGCAGCCACAGTGCAAATGCTTAATGGTGAACTGAAATCTGACCAATCGCATCAGGTTTTTTAAAAAAAATAATAATTATGCCTTGCTTTCATTTAGCACCTTACAGTTTACAAAGTGCTCTTGTGTATATCAGAGCTTCATTCAATCTTCAAGGATACTCCAAATCCCAGTGAGTGAACCAGTGTGACAAGGAGAGATCAGAGTCCCCAAAACTGAGGCATTGGCCACCAGCTAACCAGAGACAGCCCAGCCCTGGCATCCTGGTCCTCCCAACCCTCCCAGGAGCCTGGCCTCTGTACCTTGCTGGCCTATAGGCCAGCACTCACCTGATGGTTCCTGAAAGCAGGACAGGATCTTGAGGGACAATTGAGAACTTGGACCGCAGTTCCTCTAGGCTGATACTGCAGATGTCCACGCCATCGATGAGAATCCGGCCTGCTGCAGGCTCCACCAGCCGGAAGAGAGCCACCCCCAAGGAGGACTTCCCTGTTGGGCAAGAAACAAGTGGGACCTCAGTTTCCAGATCTGTACTAGAGACAGCACAGGCCACACCTGCAGTTCGCACCTGACTTGCTCCCTTCTGTAGTCCATCCTCCGAGCCCTGAGAGAGCAGAAGAGGACTGGAGTCTCTGCTCCAAGTGGTGCCCCAAATCACAAACAGCTTTCTTACAGCCTAGATCAAAGAGCACAAATGGAGCTCCTGGATTAAATCCAGCCACTTATATATTGTTTCACACACACAGTGTTACTGTTATTTTTTAAGTTCTTTGCCAGCATTTTAAAAATCCAAATCCCCTATCTATAAAAATCCAAATTGCATGCTTTTCTTAAAACCTAGAACTGGCAACACTGGTCCCTCATCCTCCCACATAACACGCAGCTGGAGCTGAGTGCAGCTGCTTCCTTGAGAGAACAGTGCTCTCCAGTTCAACACACTGCCCACCCCACCCTCCTTGCATCACCTCCCAGACCCATTTCACCCATGCATGTTGCTTGCCAGGCCTCAAAGACATTTGAGTTTTCAACCTCTGCTCTAAAAAGGTAAGGTCATCATGGGTGGTAGCTGTGTGTCTTGTTTACCTTTATGTTCCCTTTGCCCAGCAAATAGTAGGTACTCAATAAATACCTACTGAATGAATACAGTCAATTGGACCAGTATCTACTGAGAGCTTCTCTATGTCAGTCACCAGCCCTCTCAGGCCAAGTGCAGGCAAGAAGTAGAAAGGGAAGAATACCCTAAAGAACACAGCTGGAAGCCTTCACCTAACGGGATTGCAAGGCCTGCAGGGGGCCTGAGGAGGTGGAGACCCAGGAAGGCTCTATCTAGTCTTCCTGGAGGGCTACCTGGAGGAAGCAGCTCCTAGGCACACAAGGGTAGGGCAAGAATCAAGCCTGAGTAGTGTCTTTGAACAATGCAAAAATGGGAGGGAGTGATACTTGGACCAGACCTCCCAAAACTAATAGGAGAGGAAGGGAGGGAAAGAGGTCAAAAAAGAGAGGGCAAAGAGGCTGATAAGAAGTCTAGGAAGGGTGGGGAGGAAGGAGAAGCAGAACCCAGATTTCACTCCTGGCCCTGCTCCTGTCCTCAAAGAGCCCTGCACTGCCCCGTGCTTGAAGCACACCTCCCCTGCACCCTGTTCATCCTTCAGGTCTCAGCTCAAATGCCGGCCTCAGAGCCCAGACCACCAAAGCTCAAAGACCTGCCAACCCCATTACTCTGTTAACGGCACCCTTTTATTTCCTCCGTGACATTCATCATGACCTGTAATGACCCTATGTGTCTCCTGATTTGATCACTTAACACCTATCTCCTCCAGTGGGATCCCGTGATAGCAGGGACTTGGGGTTTTGTTCACCAGTGTCTGGCACAGAGTGAGGGCCCAATAAACATCTGTGGGGTCACTGAGTAAACACATACCCTGAAATAGGCCCAACGCCCACAGGGCAGAGTTGAGGACAGGGGATGCCCAAGACACTCCACTCACCAGAGCCTGTCCTTCCCACAATGCCCACCATTTCATGGCCATGAATTGTCAGGTTGATGTCATTGAGGATAATGGGTGTGTTGTCCCTATATTTCATGTGATAATCCTGGAATGTGATTTCTCCATGCTGTGGCCACCCAGGGGGACAGCTCGTGCCTTCGATGTGTAAAGGAGACTCAGGGACACACATCTAATTTTTGAAGAGAGAAAAAAAATCAATAGTTATCATTAATCTCTGCTCATCTCCTGCTGACCCACTGGCCTCCAGCTTTTGGGTGTGTGACTCACCCCAGCCTGTCCCACACTAGGACATTCAGAGGAACGCCCCCAGGGGGAATATCCCACCCCCACTCAACTGACATACACATAATTTTATCCCAAAGGGTGAGAAACCATAAAGCTAGCCCCCTTGTTATTAATGCAGAGAACTTTTCCTAATTTATTGTATGGGTTCTAAAGAAACAGAATCCAGAACAGTGACAATAAAGGTAGCAGAGCTAGCTGACCCCTGCGGGGCATGTTTTATGGGGGCTCAGATGCCTTGTGCAGATTTCCCTTCCCTCTGTCCTCATTGACGAGGTAGGGAACTTCAGATGCATTTCACACATAAGGAAATGGAGAATCAAACAGGTTAAAGCACTTGCTCAAGATCACATAGCAGATGGGAACTCAGACCAGGGCTGCCTGACTCCAAGCCCACTACCGAACCAAGCACAGCTGGGTACGTCCTGAGGCCCGAATGATGGAGAAGAAGCGTGGTCACCTGACGGCAAGTCACAGCTCTTCGCCGTGGGTGTGGCTGCGCCAGTGTCCCTCAGTATTAAATCAAAGCTCTAGGATTCACAAATTCTGCTCCTGTTAACAGGGGCAGGAGAACTGGCTTCAAAGGGCTCTGCCAAACCCCAGCTGTGTAATCTGAAGCTTAGCCAAGCCTCTGTTTCCTCTTCTGGAAAATGGGGATAATAATTCAATCAACCTTATGAAATTGTTTTGTGATTCCATAAGATAATCGATATATAAAAAATATTGAGCCTTTACTGTGGGTCAGGTACTGTGCTAAGTGCTTTACATATTATATTATTCAATCTTTGTAATAACCCAATGAAGTAGATACTATGATCTGTCCCCAGGTTACACAGCTGACTCAAGTAGCAAAGCTTGGACTTGAACCCAGTTGATCTGGCTCTAAAACCTACGCTCTTAACTATTCTGACACAAAGAGAAGCAATAATAATACCAATTATTCTTGTCATTATTATTATTTTTATACTTGGGCAAAACTCTCATTTCTAAAAAGGGCAGATTATTCTCTCTACACCCAGGGATGCTCTGAGGAATGTGATGAACATGGGCCAGTGGGTACGGAAAGGCTTCTGAGAAATGACACACACTGGTCTAGGGAAAATGCGGAGGAAGGAGCCTCATTCGCCTCTTGAAAAAGTCTCAGGGAGCCTGGGGTGCCAGAGCATGCCGAGGCTATGGAAGCTGAGCCCCAGGTGTGGATTTAAAGCCCTCCAGAGCTCCCACAACAAACCCAGATCTGCGTCCCACCTTCATGTATTGACGCATCCTCTCCGCAGCAGTGAAGTACGCCTCTGTCTCTGAACCAATCCGGGCAGAGGCCTGAAAGTTGGACGCTAGCTGGAATGAAGAAGACACCTCAGGTCAAGAAGCTGAGGGGGATGTGCAGAGGATTTCAGTGTTCCTAAAACCACTGGTTACCATCCTCCCCTGAGTGACTTCTCAGACCAAGACAATTTCCCTACAAGAATGGAGCAGATGCCTTTGGTGCCCCCTAAGCCCACTTCTGAGGTTAGCTGCAGTGGTGGTAGGCAGTTCTGGACAAGACCCCACTGGCACCGTCCCACTTCAAGTACCCTCTGTGTGTCTTTCTGCTTTCTGCACAAAACCTCTACCCATACCACAGGAACCCGCTCGACCCATGCACAGCTGCAGCCCTGAAACACAGGGGGGTTAAAGCCTGTGGAAAACCCTCAACTAATAGGGAAAGGAGCCAGCAGATAAAGGCTCCTGTCCCTCACCTTCGGGGGACAATCCAGGGAGCATCCTATATGCTTCCTATACTATTCAGTAGAGTTGAGTGCTGGTGACCCAGGACAGCAATATCAATGACACATGCCCATGATTCAGTTCCTCCTTCCCTGCCTCACTCTCTTGCTCCCTCAGTCCTGTTCCTTAGGAGCATCTCCCAAATAATCTGCCTACACCCAAGTCCTTGTTTCAGGCCTTGCCTTCAAGGAAACCCAGGCTCAGAGGAGTCTCAGGGACTCTCAGAAATTGAAGGCACCACAGATGAGGACACTGAGACCCAAGAGGAAATGACATACACAGAATCACCTGGAACCCAGAGGCAGAGGTGGGACAGGGACCCCAACCTTTACACTTTCCATCCCCTTGGCCGAAGATGTGGGCAAACAGGCCACGCACAGGGTGCTGGGCAGAAGTTCATTATACATTCATTCAACACACTCCTTGAGGGCTCTACGCCAGTGCCGGGCCAGGATCTGTGCCCCAAAGTGCAACGGGCCCAGGCACTGCCCTCAGGGAGCTTCCAGTCAGGTGGGGGAGACAGACGGGTCAACAGAGAATGCCAGCACAGACAGGTGTGCTCCACCATGGGAGGTGACGTGGACCACCCTTAGGGCCCACACGACGGTCACCCAGACAAGGGCCACAGGGAAGGACTAGGGCAGCTGTTGGCACAGGAGTTTCATTTTTAAGGAGAGGTGGGATTTAGCAGGTTAAAAATGGGTAGAGAAGGGTGTTCCCTAAAGAGGGGACAAAGTTCTGGAAGTAGTAGATAGCAGGATACATTCAGGGTCTCGGGCACCATTTGGCTATGACTGGAGCCAAGAGTATGGGAAGGGGAAGGAAGGCCCTTTAGAACTCAGAGAGGGTGGAAGCAATCATAAAATGACACTAACGGGGGAAAAGATGGGGGGAAACTGCCTTTCCTCCAGTTAGTGTAGCAGACACGGCTGGTTGCCTAGTCAGTAGGAGGTGCCTTCTTCCTTCTTCCTTGTTAGCATCCTCTATTATGCTCAGGTATCTGGCAGCCTGGTGCTCCAGGGAGCCTTGGCTAGTTCAAAACAATCCTGTTAACTCCACTCCTCATGTCAATGATGGATTTAGATGTGAGCCATGATAAAATTCTGGCCAATGAAGCATGAGGAGGAGTCGGATGGGAGTATTCTAGGAAACCACTCCTTGTTCTTAAAATGGGGCACAGGAGAGGAGTTCTCTCCTCTCCAACCTTTGGTGGGTATTGGGTGAGGATGTGTTGCTTGAGGCTGCAGCAGCCGTTTTGTGACCTTGAGTAGACAATCCTGACGATGAAGTCAGATTGTGGGTGCCAGGGCCAAAAGATAAAATGGTCATGGATTCACGCTACATCCCTAAATTAACAAGAGAAAATCCCACCTCAGCCTTCTGGATACATCACCAGTCCCCAGACTGCCAAGGCCATTTTGAATGGGTTCTATGGTTTGCTGGCTTGCAGCCAGAAGCATCTCTATTATTTATACCTCTTAGGGTTGCAAAGCAACATGGATTGTGATTCCCACCTCCCAAAGCTTGAGCAGAATTGCATTGAGAGTGCATGCAGAAGTCAATGACTCACCAGTGTGACCAGAGGAGAGAAGCATGTTGGGGTCATAGGGCCAGATTTGGGGGGCCTGAAGGCAGGGGCCATAGCCTAGGTTTGGCATAGGGAGACAGGGAATCTCTGAGGGCTCTAAACAAAGGAGGGGCATGAGGAAAACTGTAATTGAAGATCACTCTGGTGAGAATGTAAGAGGTAGATAGGGGAGGCTTGGGGGGAGGGGAAGAGGCATGGATACCCAGGATAGAGATGAGATACTCCAGCAGGGCAGCAGACACAGAGGACAAAATAAACCCAGCGTCTTTTTGAAGCAGTCAGACCTCCAGCAGAGTTCCTCCTGAGTTTCCTGTGATGGAACAAGCTGGGGAGAGCTTTGAGAGGTGTCTCATGTGCACAGTGTATCCTGGGGGAGATGAGCCCCCACCCCCCCCCTTGCCTGTGCCAGCACACGACACCTGTGCCCCAATCTTTGCCCCTCTGGCCTATGTCACGCGGCAACCAGGAGGGATTTCTGGCCTTAGTGACTCCAAGTCCCCTATGACACCACTTTGGTGCCTGTCCCCAGAGTTTTGGAAGGCTTGGAGGCAACTCTGAACTGGTACATGCGTGTGTGTGTGTGTGTGTGTGTGTGTGTGTGTGTGTGTGTGTGTTAGAGAGAGGAAGAAAGAGAAGAAGAGAGTGAAGATGAGTGTGACGCACCAAGGACAAACCTGTCTCTCACCAGCTATGGGAACCAGGGTAAGCTACTGAACTCCAAAACTCTGGCCTCCTATCTGTAAGCCAGGAACAGTAACAGCTCACAATTACCTAGCATTTATTCTGGGCCAAGCACTATTCTAGGTGTTTAACATGCATTAACCCTCATGCTTACACATATTCCTCACAAATTTATAATCTTAGAACTTTTATCTCTTTTTCACAAAATGAGGAATCCAGGCACAAGGAGGGTAAGAGGCTTCCCCAAAGTCACACTGCTAATGATGGGCAAAGCCTGGCTCGAACCCACATTCTGAACCACACAAATTAACCACCTCACTGTAGCTTGTGGAACATGGTGAGAATTCAACGCAACAAAGCACAGCAAGCACCTAGCAGGGTGCTGGCTCAGTGCAAGTGCCTGGGGAATTCCATGTTATCGCCCTGGTCAGCTGTCTGTGAGTGTGAGCACTGCATAGCCATCCACATGGCCTGTGTGCCCTGAGAAGGCTCTGCACACGCACACATGGCTGTGGGTGTACAGGATTGTATGTTTATGCAAATATGTGACTGCTGCAGGGACTCAACAAGGGGCAAGATGGAACCCCTTTGCAGACCCAAAAGAATGCCTCAGCACTGGGGCACTAGAGATCCAAAGCCAGTTAGAGACAAAGCCACACAGCTGCAGAGAAGGCTGCTAATGAGTACCCCATGGGAGAGGGGTGCCCTGGAACTGTGCAGCCAGGGTTCTCTGAAATAGCTACAGAGCCAGCCTCTGGCCTCACAGCCCTCCATGGCTAACCCTTGCAAAGAACTGACCCTATAGACATGAACTTCAGCCAGCTGGACCCTCTCATGCCCCGGGAAGCCAGGCGTAGGGGAACTCTTGCCAGGAGGTGTGCAGACTGCTACATCAGAATCCCCTAGAGAACCTGTTTTTAAAATTAGATTCCCAGATCTCACCCAACTAGTACTTGACTATGAGTCCCCGAGGCTGTGCTCTGGAACATGGTTGTCCTGTCGGCTACACAGGGGCCCAGACCGAGTAAGCCTGCGAGGCTGGGGCCAAGCATTCTGCTTCAAGTCTCATGAACTTTAAAGCCTGAGAAGACCTGTTCCAGGGGAGGGACTGGACGCCTCCTTAGATAACTCAGAGAAGTCTGACAGCTGAATCCAGGTATGAATAGTAAAATGAAAAGACACCAGCCAGCAAACCAGAAGGCCAATGTTCTTACTCTGGCTCTGCTTCTAATGCTCTGTGCATTAAGACAACTCCTTCCAACTCTTGGTTTCAATTTCCCTATCTGCACAATAAGAGATTTGGACTCGGCTTCCTGTGGACTCTATGCAATCCCAATATTCCAAGATTCCATTAAATAGCTTTCAATACAGACTGCCCAGTTCAGAGGTGACAGGGAAACAGAGGAAAGCAGCAGATTCAGAAGACCAAGCACATGACTCATAAGATCACAAATGGCCAAAACCCAACGTGTTATCAAAGTCCCATGAAATGAACCCCCTGGGTCTGGCCACAGGCCTCAGGCGAAGACCCTGCTGTCTGAGAGCCCCTCCCTCACCTGCAGGATGAGGCTGATAGCCATGGCTTTATAGGAATAGGAGGCAGAGGAGATGCCAAAAACCACGAACAAGGCCACAGTGAAGGACAGCAGGTTGGTCATGATCTCCAGCCTCAGTGAGATCCATCTCGAGGAAGACAGGAACATCAGCAGGTAGTTATTCTGTATATCACTCAGCCTCTTAAACCTAAGAAAGGACAACCACATGTGCTTGTCTAACCCAGAGTTTTGTGAGAATGGACACTGGTTGCTTCCTCCAGCATCCAGCTCCCCACTCCCACCAAAGGAACGTGACTTTTCTTTGGGGGCCTCCTCCCTTTCCCTTTCTCAGCCCTGGAGTTGACCTGAGCGCAGATCTTGGAGTAGGCTCTGACCAACTTAGGCCTCTCAGCACAGGCTCTTCCAGCCTTGATGATTGGTTCGTCTTCAGTTGGGGTAAGTTCCCTAACTGGGCCAATGAGAGTGAATAAATGCCAGGATCTATGAGTGAGTAAAGGGAAGCAACTCCTTCCCAGTATCTATCCACCTTGGGATGGGGGCTGTGCCTGTCTTGTTCACTGCTGCCTTCCCAGTGGGTGCTGTAGGTGAATGAATGCATTGCTCTAGGATGCCCTCAGTCCCAGCATCTGCACAATCCTTGAGTGCTCCCCAGGGCTGCTGGGAGAGCTGGTGCCGTGGTTCATCCAATATTCCAGTTAACCAAACACACGCCGTCTTCCACGCTCAAGTGTTACCAGGCTTCGAGCCTGGCTAGGTGCCACCTTACCCCACACCCAGCTGCAGGTCACTTCTTTCCCTCCTGAACTCTTATGGCCTTTTGTCTGCTTTTTTCCTATGCTGTCAGTCATATTCAACCCTGCATTATCACAAAAATATGTGTCTATGTCACCTGTCTGCCACCAAACTATGAACATCTTATGGTTCAGGGCAGACCATGTGTGACTGATCTTTACAAATGGGTAAGTTCATATGACACAATGAAGTCTCAGCAGCAATCATAGGATGTTTTTGTTGGTTTCAACAAACATTTAGAAGGCAAATCTATAGGTATGAATAGTGAAGGAAATTCCATGTATTCCTTGTATTTTATTAAAATTAGATACCTATTTGGAAGTGAAAGAAAAAAACATGCAAGAAGCGCTGGCCCAGCAATCCTTCTTACTAATAATTATGTTAATACATGTATGCAACATCCATAGGTCTTTAAGGTTTACAGACATTTTCCATGTCACTTATATTTGTTATTCCTATAAGCATTTCCTCAGAGAAATAAGTGGAATAAAACAATGTGAAGAGGACACTGTTCCCTGATGCTCAGTTCCCTACTTTCCTGCTTCCCACCGTCCCCACAGCCCTATCGTCCTCGGATGGCAACAGCAGGACTCACTTGCTGATGAAGTCTTCAATTTTTCCATAGACATGGATGGAGCTCAGGCCCTGCACAGTGGTGAGGATGTGGGAGAACAGAGGGGAGCGGCTGTAGTTCTCCAGTCTCTTGAATGTGTTGATGGCCCTCTTAAACTTCCTGCATCAAGAATGAGAGGGAGTTGGGGCACCTGGGTGGCTCAATCGGTTAAATGTCTGCCTTCAGCTCAGATCATGATCATGGGATCCTGGGATCGAGCCCCGTGTCGGGCTCTACATTCAGCATGGAATCTGTTTGAGATTCTTGCTCTTTCTCTGCCCCTCCCCCCACCCGTGCTCTTCTCTCTCTCTCTCTCTCTCTCAACTAAATAAATAAAATCTTTAAAAAAAAAAATAAGATGAGAGGGAGTGACCTGGACCATCCACCTCAGGGACCACCCAGTTCCTATGTAGATTCCAGCCTCGTATCCCAAGTCACAAACCCAGCTCACAAGCAAAAAGAACCCACTTACGAATAATAAATAAGGCAAATAGTGACTAATATGACTCCCATCAGCAGGATGTATGGAGACAGCACACTGACAGCCAACAAGATGGCAACCACCATCAAAGACAGGAGCAGGAACTCTTCAGCAACAATGGGCAACAACTGGTCCAGCGCATCCAAGTCCCCCTTAAAGCAGTTCAGGAGTTGGCCTGTTGGTGTTGTGTCAAAGAAGCTCATGGGGGAGCCAGAAACCTGCAGGGACAAAAGCAACCCAGATCAACAGAGAGCTGCTGGCCTTGCTCTGGGACTTGAGGATGATGTCAGTTACCCTTAGGCTCTGAAGACATGCTGGATCCAGCCTAAGGGGCGTGCAGGGGAGGCAGCGTAGAGCAATGGTTAAAAGCATGAGCTCCACAATCAGTCTGCTGGGTTCCAGGGTTACCCCACTCCTCCACCTACTGCTGTGTGACTTTGGGCTTAAGTTATTTAGCCCCTTGGAGTCTCAATGTCCTCATTTGTAAAATGGGGATGATAACGACACTTCACAGAGTTGTGGTGAAGATTGCACACCTCTGCAAGTAGACTGAAAACTTCTGAGTTGTGCAACTTTATTAAAAGGGTGAATTTTATGATTATGTGAATTATATTTCAATAAAGCTGTTGAAAGAAAGAAAGACAGAAAGAAAGAAAGATATCCCAATATTCCAAGATTCCATTAAATAGCTTTCAATACAGACTGCCCAGTTCAGAGGTGACAGGGAAACAGAGGAAAGCAGCAGATTCAGAAAGAAAGAAAGAAAGAAAGAAAAAGAAAGAAAGAAAGAAAGAAAGAAAGAAAGAAAGAAAGAAAGAAAGAAAGAAAGAAAGAAAGGAAGAAAGAAAGAAAAAAAGAAAGGAAAGAAAGAGGGGTGCCTGGGTGGCTCAGTTGGTTAATCATCTGCCTTCGGCTCGGGTCATGATCCCGGGGTCCTGGGATGGAGCTCTGCATCGGGCTCCCTGCTCAGCGGGGAATCTGCTTCCCCCTCTCCCTCTGCCTGCCTCTCTGCCTACTTGCGATCTCTCTCTCTCTCTGTCAAATAAATAAATAAAATCTTGAAAGAAAGAAGAAAGGAAGGAAGGAAGAAAGAAAGACAGACAAGAGGTAATACACTGAAAGTCTCAGAATAGTATAGTTCCTGCCTCCTAATTAGCATTCCATTAACACTAGCTCTGATTGTTTTCCACAGATGGGACCATTTTCCAGGATCGCCAAAGATTAGTAACAGCAACTCCACTGCGGTTGCATATGACTTGGTGTCTTGGGTAGAATTTAAGCATGACTGCCCCTTCTTGAAGGTGGTGTCCTAACTTGATCTCTAAAAGCAGTAGACAGGAGACCCTTTGGAGATCAAAGAACATTTCATACTAGAAGGGCTTTAACAAAAGCATCTAAGTTTAGTGTATTCATTTTACAGATGAGGAAACTTAAGCCCAGAAAAAGGGAGGCTGCTCAGCAATCTGCTCAAGGTCACCCAAGTAGTTAACAGCAAAACCATGACCAGACCTCCCAGGGCTCCCTGACCCCTCTGCCCCAGCACAGCCATGCTCTTTACAGAAAGCATTTCTTAAAGGTTCCTGACACTGAGCTGCTGACCAATTGACCCCTTTATTTCCCTATGTATTTCTCAAGCTGTAACACAAGAAAAAGACATAAATAGAAGTTAATCATATCTATTAGGCCAAAAGCAAAGGAAGGAATGAAGGGGGAAGGCAGAAATTGCATTTTGATTATTAATAAATAGTAATTATTAGAATCACGAAGTGTCTCATATAGCAGCTCTCATTGCAAATACCTGGATGCTGCTGACCAAGTACTGTTCACATTTATGTTTAGGCTCTAAGGTAGGAGGGGGAGGCAGTGAGGTTGGGAGGGGCAGATGATGAGTTTCCTCATTTTTTCTGCCTCTAAATTATCTTCCATCTTCTCTCCAGAATCTTTTGTGAAATACATAAGCAAAAGCAACAAGAACTGTCACGATCACTTCAAGAGATCACAGTCACCCTCGCCCCCAGGACTCTGGGTACTCACGGGGGGGCAAGGAGGTGTGTGGTGCAGGGAGAGAGGTGCACAGGAACAGGGTACAGCTCAGCTGTGGTGTGACTAAGCCATCTTTGTGAGAACCCACCATCACTCAGGATTAGGAACAGATGGTGGGGACATGGAGAAAGGGCTTCTGGTGCCCCATAAGTGTCAAAATAACCTGTTTTTGCAATTTGTTGTGTTTGTAGTTGAGCCAATTATCTGAAAGGTTTGTCCTTCACTGCGATTATTTAGAACTACAAAGGCAAATTTAAAATCAATCAAGACATAAAAGGACTACAAAAAGGAACATATTTTAAATACAAAGCATATTTTCTAATGAAAAAAAAACTTGAAAAAAAATAAAATAGGAATTATCACTTTGAAGCCTGAGCACTGGATATTTCCAGAATCTAGGAGCGCAGAGTCAGAACCTTAGAGGCCATAGCAAAGTTAGTAAAGAGTGTCTGGCCTCAGGTAGACTATTCCTCTCCTGCTTTCTGGTTCCACCAAGCCAGCTGCTTTATTTGAGGTGTGGGGAAATGCCTCCACCTTGTCATCCCCACATTGAAATGTCAACATAATTTGCATTCAGTCTACAAGGAATGATGGATGTCCTCACCTCCGGAGAACACCCATGAAAATCCCTGCTCTAACCCTCTGAGCACCTGCCCTCCAGAATTCCAGTTCCCCAGGAAAGCTCTGCTTCTCTTCAGTTAGGAAGCTCTGCCCTCCAGGACTCCAGTTCCCCAGGAAAGCTCTGCTTCTCTTCAATTAGGAAGCTCTGCTTCCTAATTTAAGCTGGCTAAAGTGCTTCAACTCATCCTTTAGATCATAGCAGAGAAGTCCCTTCCTCCAGGAAGTCTTCTTGGACTCCCATCCTTCCCTCCACCACGCACATGCTGTGGTTAGGTGCCTATTAAGTTCTTAGGATCCCAGGGGCCCCCACCCAGTGAGTAATTTTGCACACTATGTTACAACAGCCTGTTTTCTCAACAGTCTTCCTGAATAGACTCTAAGGCCATGATGGCCTGAACCATACCTGTATTGTTCATTCACCACTGTAAGCCCAATGCCCACCCCAGAACCTGTGCATAGTAACATTTGGTGAGGGGGAGTGCAATGACATTTCCAGGATGCAATGTGATACTACAGAAACTTTGGTATTTTAACCATAACAATTCTCACCATAACACACAAGGATTTCAATCTCTCATATGTAAAATAAGGATGATAGCACCATTTCAAAAGGAACCTGGGACAATTCTACAACTCTATGTGTGACAACGCCTAGCCAACAGAGGCCAGCATTGGTATGACCATTGACCCTCCAGCAAGGGACACCAAGCTTTTAGAATCATACTGTCAGCAGCAGGAGAGCTTCTATGCACCCGTCTCATTCCGTAGCCTGCTCCCACCCACGTAGTAATCAGTGTGCACTTGCAACTAGATGACATTCTGGAAAGGCCAAAACTATGGAGACAATGAGAAAGATCAGAGGTTGTCAGGATTTCGGAGGAGGGGGTGGTGTATAGTTAGAGCACAGAGGATTTTTTTTTCTATTTCTCTTTCTCTTTAAATTTTTTATTGTTATGTTAATCACCATACATTACATCATTAGTTTTTGATGTAGTGTTCCATGATTCATTGTTTGTGCATAACACCCAGTGCTCCATGCAGAATGTGCCCTCTTTAATACCCATCACCAGGCAAACCCATCCCCCCACACCCCTCCCCTCTAGAACCCTCAGTTTGTTTTTCAGATTCCATCATCTCTCATGGTTCATCTCCCCCTCCAATTTCCCCCCCTTTCATTCTTCCCCTCCTGCTATCTTCTTTTTTTTTTTCTTAACATATATTGCATTATTTGTTTCAGAGGTACAGACCTGTGATTCAACAGTATTGCACAATTCACAGCACTCACCATAGCACATACCCTTCCCAATGTCTCACCCAGCCACCCCCTCCCTCCCACCCAGCCCCACTCAAGCAACCCTCAGTTTGTTTCCTGAGATTAAGAATTCCTCATATCAGTGAGGTCACAGGATACATGTCTTCTCTGATTGACTTATTTGCTCAGCATAACACCCTCCAGTTCCGTCCACGTCATTGCAAATGGCAAGATCTCATTCCTTTTGATGGCTGTGCATAATATTCCATTGTATATATATACCACCTCTTTATCCATTCATCTGCTGATGGACATCTTGGCTCTTTCCACAGTTTGGCTATTGTGGATATTGCTGCTATAAACTTTGGGGTGCACGTACCCCTTCGGATCCCTACATTTGTATCTTTGTGGTAAATACCCACTAGTGCAATTGCTGGATTGTATGGTAGCTCTATTTGCAACTTTTTGAGGAACCTCCATACTGTTTTCCAGAGTGGCTGCACCAGTTTGCATTCCCACCAACAGTGTAGGAGGGTTCCCCTTTCTCCACATCCCCGCAAACATCTGTCGTTTCCTGACCTGTTAATTTGAGCCATTCTGACTGGTGTGAGGTGGTATCTCATTGAGGTTTTGATTTGGATTTCCCTGATGCCGAGCGATGTTGAGCACTTTTTCATGTGGTCTGTTGGCCATTTGGATGCTTCTTTGGAAAAAAGTCTGTTCATGTCTTCTGCCAATTCCTTGATTGGATTATTTGTTCTTTGGGTGTTGAGTTTGATAAGTTCTTTATAGATTTTGGACACTAGCCCTTTATCTGTTATGTCATTTGCAAATATTTTCTCCCATTCTGTCTGTTGTCTTTTGGTTTTGTTGTCTGTTTCTTTTGCTATGCAAAAGCTTTTTATCTTAAAAAAAAAAGCTTTTTATCTTGATGAAATCCCAATAGTTCATTTTTGCCTTTGCTTCCCTTGCCTTTCGCAATGTTTCTAAGAAGAAGTTGCTGTGGCTGAGGTCGAAGAGGTTGCTGCCTGTGTTCTCCTTTAGGATATTGATGGACTCCTGTCTCACGTTTAGGTCTTTCAACCATTTGGAGTCTATTTTTGTGTGTGGTGTAAGGAAATAGTCCAGTTTCATTCTTCTGCATGTGGCTGTCCAATTTTCCCAACACCATTTGTTGAAGAGACTGTCTTTTTGCCATTGGACAATCTTTCCTGCTTTGTCAAAGATTAGTTGACCATAGAGTTGAGAGTCCATTTCTGGGCTCTCTATTCTGTTTCATTGATCTATGTGTCTGTTTTTGTG